TCCCGGGATGATGTCGATCTGATGTTGAACATCTCGAAGCGGTGGTAATTCAGATGGAAGATCGTCAAGCTTCACTGTATCGAATTACTGCAAGAGGGTCTGTACTTTAGGTGGAATTTCAGCGGTGGTAGAATCCTCTTTTCCCGAGACAATAAGAGCATAAACCTCATCAAACTGCTTCACATCTTTCATAAAGTCTTCATTGTCAACGACCAAAAAGTCTTCTTTTTAGCAACATTAGTTTTGACAAGTCCCTTCTCAGTTAGAGGCTTGAGCACAATTCGTCGACTATCCTTCTTAAAGATATAAATGTTATCCTTCCCTCTATGCGTGGCATCAATATCAAACTGTCATGACCTGCCTAGCAGCATATGACAAGCATCCATCTCAACTACATCGCACAATGCCTCATCAACATAAGTTCTACCAATGGAAACAGATACCCGACACACCTCATCAACCTACACGTCATTACCCTTACGAATCCAACCGATCTTGTAGGGAGCAGAGTGCTTCTCCATCTTCAAACCTAATTTCTCCACCATGTACCGAGAGATAATATTCTCACCGCTCCCACTATCAATGATGACATCACATATCTTCTGTTTCACTGTGCATCTCGTGCGGAAGATGTTATGCCTCTGTAGTGGTTCTTATGTCTTTGGGGCCAATAATAGTCGCCGTACAACACATTAGAGTTGTTCCTCATCATCATCAGGATCTAATCCACCATCATAGTCTTCAGCCTCATCTTGATCTACGCCCTTGTCTTCGTGATCCACCATATTCACAACACCTCTTTTAGGGTACTGATTGGATCGATGACCAGGCTGTCCACATCTATAGCACTTGATCGGGTCAGGCTTGACATATGGGTTCGGTGGTGTAGTCTTCTTTGTTGTTGTTGTTGCTGGACCTTTTGCCTTCTCCGTTGTAGCATCTTGATCAGAAATAGTTTGAGATTATTTGTTCCCACCATAATTAAAGCTCGTGCGCGACCCTTTGGAAGCTGCCCATGACCCTTTACTATTTCGCCTGAGTTGTCACTCCATCTTCTCGGATAGGCTAACCGTGTCAGCTAAGGTATAGGTCTGCTGCAAAGATACACGATCCTGAATCGCCATCCTTAATCCTCCCGTATATCTGGACATCTGTTGTACCTCGCTCTTGTTTAAATTGTTGCGGGATGACAGTCGATAGAACTCCTGTGTGTACTCATCCACAGTTCTACCACATTGCTTACAATTCTAGTATTGTCCAAATAAAACTTGTTCATAATCACTTGGCAAGAAATGGGCTCTCAATAGTTTCTTCATCTTTCCCCATCTATCGACCTTCGGCTTTCCTTGACGAGATCGATTCAGACAAACAGATTCCCACCAAGCTGAAGCTCCACCTTTGAGTCGGTAGGCCACCAATTTTACCTTACGCTCTTCTGGAATCTCCATATACTCAAATAATCTCTCTACTTCTGTAATCCAGTCGAGGAATTCTTTGATGTGAAGTTTCCCGTTGAAAGATGATAGATCCATCTTCATCTTGAAACCTCCTGTTAGACTCTAATGCCACTAGGAAAGTACCCTAGAGGGGGGTGAATATGGTTTATGCTAATCTAATCCGATTTAAATGCCAATTAAAACTTATTAACAAATTATCCTAGCAAGTATGTGGTTTATGCTAATCTAATCCGATTTAAATGCCAATTAAAACTTATTAACAAATTATCCTAGCAAGTATGATATACAACAAGATATATGCAAGGATAAGTGATATGAACAAAGAGATATATATATATATATATATATCCTAGCAAAGAGGTATATGGTGAAATATATACAAGGATATATAAACTAACACAAGGGTAAAATAATCATAAACAAGATAAATAAGATAGTGGACAATATAAATAATGAGCAATTGACAAAGGCGATATAATGATAAACACAAAAAATAAGTGCGTCAATGCAATCACAAACAAACGATACGTTCACAAGGTTCGGTCCCCACGACCTACGTCCCCGCTCCTCACCTCGAGGAGATCTTCACTATCACAACCGGGTTTTCTACGCTCACTCGAATAATGTTTAAACCTCACACTCAGTTTTCTAGTTCACCAAAAACTTTACAATCAACACTCTTACAATCACACTTTACATCCTCTCAAGTGTTAGTCTCTAGCCCGTGTCTCCCTCACCTGTCTCTCACCACACACTCCTCTCGGTGTACAAGTGTATTACAAAATGTATCTCACAATTAGGCTCAACAACAAGATTTGTTCTCTACAATGGATGAGAACTCTATGTAAGCTCACTCTCAAAGAATACAATCTCACAACCCTAAATATACTATGTATGAAAATACTTAGGCTCAAGTGGGTGTGTGTAATCAATGAGAGATAACAACAACTAAACTTAAATCAATCTAGCACAAATATGTATGAATCAAAATATAAATAAGCTAGAAGCTAAGTTTAGAAAAACTTCTCTAAGAATCAAGAGCGAGAGAGAATGAGATTGAAGCTCAAACACCAAACAAATGATCTCCTCCTCTTGTAAACCTCTTTTTGCATAAACTAAAACAATCTTTAAAACTTGAAACAACCTCTCACAAACTTGTAAAACTTATTTTAAAACTCTCTTAAACATCCATAAGAAATAATGAAAGTTGAGAGTTATAGCCTCTTAAACCATCCACAAACCCCCAAAAATCGAAAATATCAAAAACTAGCCGTTACTAGCCGTTATAGGCTGAAAAGACCAAAATACCCCAAAATCCTGCATTCTGGAAATTTGAGTATCTGACTTTATAAAATTAATTAAAAATAGTAAATCAACTCAAAAAATTATTAAATTTTGTGGAATATTTCTAGACATGTATATAAACATGTTAGAGAAATAATTTCTGAAATATAACTTCCCATTTGTAAGAAATAAATATTTTAAAACAGATATTCCAGATTCTAAAAACTGCTGAAACACTTGATTTTGTAAAATCAATTCAGTATAGTAAATCAACTCCAAAAATGATAAAATTTTGGAAATGATTATAAACATGTAATAGAACATGTTACAAAAAGAATTTTTAAAATACTTTTCTCATTTGTTAAATATAAATTATTTTGTAAACTATTTAAGAATACGAAATCATCAATACTTGATTTTGACAAAAACAATTTCAAACAAGTTTGCAAATCCTTTTGAATGGATTATTAGACTTAGGAAAAGATATAAAATATTATAAACAAGTCTTTAATCCATAAACACATAATTTTTCAAATAAACGTCTTTAATCCATAAATGAAATCATGTTCATTTGCATGTATAGATATGAAACAAATACGTGTATACATATAGTTATATCCATTTGTTTCATATATATATGGCTAAACAAAATTGATAAATATAAAATGTGTATAAACAAGTATATATGTTTCATATTTATATAAACTTGAAAGCTATAAAACCAAAATATGTATGTGTGTATATAATTGAGCTTAAAGTATCAACACACATAATATAAAACCTAAACTATTTACCCAAGCAATGATCTTGATCTTCAATAAGCTCTTCTTGGTAAACTTACAAATGAAGCTTGAACTTGGATCTTGAACTTGAATTGCATAGGCTTCAACCACTATTCCGCCAACCTCCATTGAATATGATCGTGAATGCTCGATTCCATCCATCCTCCAACATGTTGTTTGTCTACAATAAATAGATAAATACAAACACTAGACAAACAACATTAGTTATAAATTGTTTGTTAAACATCATCAAAACAAGAAGGCCAATACCTCCAGCATAATAATTATCCCTTCCTCGACGGTCTCTGTGATAAAAACCGAGGCGTGGGGCTGCATAGTTATCTTCCTCGCTGTCGGATTCATCATATGGAGTCGGTGGAGTTAGATCACGTCGTTGGCGACCATCAACGCGATTTTGAAACTCCCGTCATGTTTAAACGCTCAACTGCCGCTGCAAGTCACTCCATGACAGTCTTCATCTGATTAACATCGGCTTTTAGCACGTCGAACTCAGTTCAAGAAATAGGGGCTTCATCACCTGCCATCAGATCTCTGAAACCAATTGACGTAGCGCAGAAGTGATAACCTCAGAATCCACCAATGGTGTTCTCTGAATTCACAAAGAACGATCTTCGAATCCACAAAAAACTTCAAATCCACGAAGAAAATATTGGAAAGAGAAATTTTATTGATGAAAAATTATTCTCCTTTGGGGTTACATGACTCTTCTTAAATAGAAAAACAAATAAGACTCCTAGTAAGACTAGAATTATAAAAATAGAAAGTATCAAATAAGACTCCTAGTAAGACTAGAATTACAAAAAAAAAGAAAGTGTCAAATTTTATCCTAAAAAGACTCCTTATAATAGAGGAAACAAATCATGAATCAAAATTGATTTTGTTTTCTAATCTAATTTGACTCTAAAATTAAATTTATTTCCTAATCTATATTTCCTAATCTAAATAGATTCCAACTCAGATTAAGCGTCCTACATCAATACTTCCCTCACAACATTTACAAACGTTTCTCTTGGAAACATGGGTATTAGAGCTTTGCTAGCCACATTGGGGTGAGGCTCACATGACAATGAGCTAGCATCTCATTTTGACAGCTCATATATACCTGGCATCCTCCTTGAAATATTAATAGGGAGGACACGTGTGATTTGGAGATTTACGTTGGAGTGATTGGTAAAATCTGACAAAAATAAACCTGGGTACTTCTAAAAACTTCCCTGATTATCGTTTCAACGGAGCTCATGTGTTAATTAGTCTATTTCGGTGCGAAAATAGATAGATGATGCTACATCATTCAGCTATGCATCTGTTGCCATCATCAGTGACCTACGTCAGAATTCAGCCCTCCATTGAAGAAGAAGAGGCAGAAGATACTACATAAAAAAGTACAAAACATCTTATTACACGTCCACCCTTGAATAGAGAAAAAGAGAAGACATTTGCAAGTGGGAGGGGCACGAAAGGAGAGCAACACATGCAAAACTTTACAACTAATCCTACCCTATCACGCTATCAACATTTTCGTCAACTGCAACATCGAATCTAATAATCAAAGCTTGGGAAGAAAAGCAAAGAAAGTATAATTAAAGCAAAAAAGCTAAACCAAAACCAAAGAAAAATCTCAAAACGATGGAGTCCCTCCTCTCCCAGCTCTCCCTCCTCGCCAACGAAGCCCTCAACGACAAAAACTTCGACCCCTCGCGCATCGAACAACTCCTCGCCCTCTTCGAGTATGAAGCACGCAATTCATTGTCGACCGTAGAGGCGGAGCATCAGAAGACAGCAGAAGAAGCGGAGGCAGAAATGAAGGAGGCCGAAGCCTACCTCAACTCCCAGTTGGACGATGCGACCGATGAATTCCACCGATCTTGCGAAGAAGTCGAGAGATCGTCGGAGATGGGGAGGGTGATTGGGTCCGGGGTTGGTCGTGCTTCGGACAAGTATATGGATGCTGCGCTCGCTTCGGCGATGGCGAGTATGAAGTCGGCGGTTGATGGTGCTAAGCTCAGCAAGGTTCATCCGAATTAAGTGATTTTGTATGTTTGAAGTTTACATGTGTTTCGTTAACGCGTGCGATGAATAAAATTTGCAGCCAAACTTTCCTCAGGGTAAAGTTAATTGATGTGATTCACATCCCTTTGGGATGGTTATCTGTTGATGCGTCCTCTCTACTAGGGTAGGGGTGGTAACGATCGAATCGAATACTAAAGTGTTCGTATTTGTATTTGTTTAAACTTATCGAATTCGAATGCGGACTCTGATATTTATATATCTAGTTTTTCAAATTCGAACTCGAATACTTGTTATTTGATAAATATTCATGAATATTCACGAATACTTATCGAATATCAAAGTATATTTATTCCGCTAAACAATTTAATTTTAAAATAATATTAACATTCATAAATAAAAATAATTCATTTATAATATATGATGTCTATATATATTTAAATCAAAATTTTAATTAGAAAACAAGCTTAAGATTATTTAAGTTTTAAAACCAGTATATAAAACTTAAATAGAAATAGTAAAGAGTTAAAAATATGACATTATATGTGTTGGACACAACCCTAGGAAAAACGCAGAGGTATTTATAAACCCTACTCTCTAGTCACTACTTGTCGCATAAGGCAAATGTTATCAACACGAATACTTTTGACAAATAATTACCAACCAAATGTTATCAAGAATACTTGTCGCATAAGGCAAATGTTATCAAAAGTATATAAAACTTAAGTATCAAACTATTTGGTAGTTATTTGTTTCATTTCCACCCTTACTCTCTAGTCACTACTTGTTGCATAAGGCAAATGTTATCAACACGAATACTTTTGATATATTAAAGTCTCTTTCTCCGACAATGGCAAATGGAGGATTCTCCCTGTCCCTTGCTCTATTATTTGAAATTTGGAAGGACATGGGAACATATTGTTTTCAGATAGAATGTGAAAATCCAGTAGAAAATTGATTACATGTGTCCAAAAAAAAATATTTTTTAATCCCCACCCACGAAATTGGTTAATTTTACAATACCCTTGGATCATTTGGTGGCTTATACATAATCACCTAATTTTTTTTTCCTTTTTAAAGATCTTGCAAACCCTCCGAAACTAAAGTTTTTTTTTTTTTCCTTTTTTAAGATCTTGTAAACCCTTCGAAACTATGAAGTGTCTCACAATAGGCTAATTTTAAATTTTCCTCACAAGATTCCTCATCTAATTAAAATATTCTCGAGAGACCAAACCCCAAATAGGAGGAAGCACATTGCCTGCAAACAGCATATGACTAAATTCAAGTAGAACTCGAAAAATAGGTACACATTTCAATTCTAACTAAAATTCAGATAAAAAAGAGATGCACCATTTCAATTCTAACTACAAGTTCTGATGCGACAAAAACACTGAAAATAAGGGCCACAGTCATACTCATCAAACAAAACCAAATCATCCCCCCACTTACAACAGCCATTCAAGAAGCAAAAACAGAATAAACACGAAACCAAAGCGAAATAATGGATCAATATCAGAAGAAAGTGCCGCTGCATTACTTCCTGAAATACTTCCTGCAGGACCATTTGCTGAAGAAACACCAGGCATCACAAAGCCTCCGGGCGCTGACGCCTTTGGTGATGGCATTAAACCACCTGATTCTGCTGCCACAGGAGCTGGTGCTGGTGCAAGAAATGGCTCGGGGGTTACTTCGGTTGGTGGGGGTATGACTGCAGGAAACTGATGCACCGCTGTACAAATCAAATACACGAAATGAACAATTACAAACATACTATCAACCGAAACATTGATAACACAAAATTAAGTAAGGATTAAAGAAGATATACATCTTGTACTATTGAGGTAGAAACACTTATAAACTATTTTATTAGCACTTACATCCACTGAATCCATCCACTGAATCTCAAATGAGGTTATGTTTCCACGCTCAATTTAGAGGGTGTTAGAAGATATTCTATGATTTGTCGCCTTCAGTAGTTCGATTCCAGATTCGATGTATTAGTAAAATATGGGTAGCTCTCTATTCAGGACTTTCCTTTATTATTCTTCCTTTTCTTATTAGTGACTTTCGTTTACAAATATTCTACAAGCTGTGCAAGTATGGGCATTACCCTCTTCTTCATAATCAATGAGAGATAAAAAGTTTCTTCTCGACAAGGTGCATAAGCATGGCGTATTATTAGGGGTAACCATATCCCGTATCCGTGATATATCCATAACTGTATCCACTAGGACACAGATATGATTACTAGAATCTATAACCGATAGGATGGATATGGATATGGTTACTAGAATCCGTAACCGATAGGATATAATTACATATATGGTTATATAATGGAAGATCCGGATCCGGATCCGAAATATCCAAATATATGTTGATCATACAATTGCAATTGTTTTAATATTTAGATACATGGATTTGAGATAAAATTCGATGGTCAAGAGTTTTAATCTTAGCTTTTCAGATATAATAAACACGTTAATGAACTCTCTTGTGTCATAGGAACTAAATATTTTCTGGTTTTGTCATATCCGTTTTTTATCCGCATATATATTCGTATCCGTATTCGATTTTGGCGGATATGTTTATAAGTTTTTCTTACCGAGGCACATCCTTATCAATATCCATATCCGTGATCGATAAGCGGATATGAATAGGGTAAGTATCATATCCGAGCCGTATCTAGACCAAATGCACCCTTATGTATTATCCACTTGTTCATAATCAATGAGAAATATATAAAAAATCTTTTCCCCACTTATTTCAAAGGAAGGCAATTTAGTCTTTTTTCCAGTTAAACAGAAGGCAAACAGTAAGTTATTGTCACGTGATTCCCACGTTATATCTCAACTAAATGTGGGACAATAATATTGTTGGTAGTCTAGTGGTTGTAAGTGATAATAAAAAAGTAGAGGTATAAATCTTACAGTACAGGAGGCACATCTGCACTTAAAACCTTAATTTACCTGGACATCGAGGCTGAAGGGTTGTGGATAGCCTACAATAAGTAGCAAAATTAGAATTCAGTGGATATATTCATGATGAGTATGAAGAAAAGTAGCGTTAATTCAATGAGAAGCAAGCTTACGTAGTAACAATGGTTCCATTAACAAAGCCACCATATGAACAAGAAGTGACATTGCAACCGGCACTGGTGGATTGAGAGGTAATATTCCCCAGCATTAGATTGCTATTCCTACATTGCATGCTCGAACAAGATGCGGATAAAGAAGCTGGCATGCAGTACAAACTGCAAAAAGTCAACAGTCCAATGAGTCAGTAAAACTAAAGAGAGAAATTAAAACCAAGTAGGCAAAGTGATATGAGAAATCGAGTTGTATACTTGAGATCTCCAGGGCCACAACTACATTGGACACAGTGATCAGCAGTGATCGCATAACTTCCATTTGCAACAACCAAGCCAGAATCTGAGGCATAACTTGGGAACTTTGACGTGCAAGCTACAACATGCAAAAATAATAAAGCAAAAATAAGAAGCCTATCTAACTCCCAAACACTTGCTCAAATCGAGTGAAGTCAAAACTATGAAACCAAGAACTAAAAGTCATGTTCTAAGATCATCATTGTACCCAAGACATAAACTGAGTGTTTATACGAAGAAACACAACAATTAATCGAATAACAATAACCACATTGGTTGAATATATCAAGAATTGAACAGCTACCCAAAGCCAGCAGGTCTAGAATCCCTAGCGTGTTGTGTTAAATTCTCCTATTCATCACAACTCTCTCATTCAACAATCTTGCGATTTAGCAGTAGAGTATTCGCCAATCAATTTCGGGAAGCTACAAAGATTTTAGTCCCAAGAGGAAAGATGCTGGAAAAAGAAAGAGCTTTTCGTCCCTCCTTATCACAACTTCTCATGCCACAGTCTCGGTCCTTGGCATTTGGGGGCTTAACAAGGTGCTAAGCTTCACGCACTTCCTGGAGCTTGACACAGGATTATCAAAAGAACAATCTCAAAGCCACATTGTTCTAAATGCAATAGGCAAGAAAGCCAGAACAATCTTGGGCGCACCATAACAAGCTGGGTTACTTGCCCTTTTAATACCTAAAACTTATCTTTTTCTGTAACTTTGACATCTGAAAATCCTATTTTGACAACGCGATGCCCCAAAGGCCCTAAATTTGGTAAGAAATTTCGCTTGTCATTCACTTTTCCCATGTTGATATGCTCGAACAAAAATTAGCATCCATTCTTTTGCAGACACCAAATTGCCAAAGTCAAATCTTCAGCGTATTAAAAGTTAAAGCAAGCTGAAACTTTACGGAATTAAACTCCAAACAACCCTAAAAACAAGCACTCGCCTGGGAGAGGGATGGCAACGATGTCGCCGGCCTTGACAACGGGACTCCCCAGACCATTAACATTCATGATATCCGACACCGTCGTATCGTACCTCGCCGCGATCCCGGGCACCGTGTCCGCCGGCTGCACCACATAGCTGAGGTAAACGGCTGGCAAGAAGCTGTCGGTGTTGTTGAAGCAAGTGCAGGGCAGCGGGATCACGAGGCTCTGCCCGACCTCGAGCGAGGCGTCGGGGTCAGCATCGGCCATCGAGTTCGCGTCCCGGATTTGCTCGGGCGAGGTCAGGCCGGAGAAAATTGAGGAAGCTATCAAAGAGAGGGTGTCGGAGGGGCGGTGCGGTAGCGGGTGGGAGAGGGAGCGGCGGAGGCCGTCGGAGGCAGGAGCAGGAGGCGGGGACGCGAGGAAGAGGCGGGTGGAGGATGCGTTGCGACGCCGGGGAGCGGGATGATGGAGTTGGACGGCAGAGCGAGGGAGAAGGGGTCCGACCTGGAAGAGGCGGCACTCGGAGATCTTGAGGTCGGTGTAGAGGGTGTAGCCGACGAGGGAGGTGCACGCGTCGGAGCCGGAGCAGGGCTCGATGGTTGATTTTGAGTGGGAAAGGGGAGCGAGGGAGAGGGTTGTGAGGAGGAGGAGGAGGAGGAAGAGGAGCGAGGGTTCGATGCCCTCCATTGATGAGAGAGAAAGAAAGAATTGGGGGTGATTAGGGTTTCTCTCTCTCTCTCTCTCTCTCTCTCTGGCCTCTTCTGATTTTGCTTTCGATTCACCGTGGAACGCTTCGCTTTGTTCGAGGCAGAGAGAGAGAGAGAGAGAGAGAGAAAAGGGGGAGGAGGGAGTGAAGTGGAGTACAGACAGCACTTGGATGGTTTCTTTTTTGTTGCGTTGGAATTGCCGACTGGGAGTCTGGGGCTCGCTTTTTTCCTTATTTTAGTTTAATTTTTCTAAGTTTTAAAGTAGATTCGGAGGAGCTCGAGGGCGATTATCACCGTCTGATTACGTTGATTGTTATTATAGTATAATTACTTTTAAAAAGAAAACAGAGTGGCACTTAATTGAAGATTCTCTGTAGGACCGCCTCCTTGTGTTTTATTTCGAGTGTAAATTAAGAATGGGAGTAATCCATAGGAGCGGTGATTAGTACTTGATTTAGAATCAGCTACTAGGTAAATCAATAAAATAATGTTAGAGGCACACCACCCACCACAATCCCAACCACACTCTCCCCTCTCATTGCTACAGTAAACCGGGCCCCACATGGGATTTTAAATTTTTTAAAATCTCATGTGGAGCCCGGTTTACTGTAGCAATGAGAGGGGGGGTGTGATTAGGGTTGTGGTGGGTGGTGTGCCCCTAACACCACTCAAATCAATAATTGTTAAATAAGATAGCGGTCTTTTAACTATTTTTTGATAATCGGGAGTATACAAATTTCTTATTGAGCCTACATTGCTACAAAGATCGTAAGATTAATCTGTTTGTCGCTATTTTAATCTCTTTTATGGTAAGACTGACTTTAAAGTTTAAACCCGCGCTCAAAGAGTCTGCTTTGATCTAAACCAGTTTAGCTCTGAAGTGGAAGCAAAACAATCTTAACCCCAGATAAACCATACTCCAGATGTTTATCAAACTAGGTTTAATGCGGAACCACTGTTTTCCATTATACTGATTTAAGGAGAGTTGCTAAATGGACCTTTACCTTATGTAGTAAAATAAAACTTAATAAATATAAATATATTACAAAATACATAAAAAAAACTATAGAGAAGAAAAGGGCAGGGAAAAAATGGAGTAATATATGTAACTTTGGGATATCAATTGAGGTGGGAACTTGTTACCTCTAAAGATTTGGTGGTCATACTTCAATTTTGAGCTAAGTTCAAACCAAATAAAAAAGATGAAATTGTCGGGGCGTATAAACATTTAGACGTGGTTATATGAATGCATCGTTCATGCCCATGAGATTTAAGATGGTTCAGACTACAAAAGTGCATCGCATGAATGAAAATTAATGGTCTATTGGACTTGAATGTGGCATGCTACTCTATTCTATGAATGTGTCCACAGTCTAATCCAAATCCTGTTCTTAACAAAGATTCACCAGCCTCCACCAGATTTAGCTACAGCTGACTTATGAGCTACAACAACTGGACAAGCATAATCTTAACTCCTGAAACAGTAAAATACAGGCTACAGCAAATCCTCACATGTATAAAAATGAAAACAAGGCTAAGCGAGCCATTAAATTGACTAGATGAGCTTCTTCTTCCTAAAGAATGTCTTGAGGTGCCACAATTGCAAGATCGAAACCACAACGCAAACGCCAAGGGACATGATACTGAACCATGCGACCCTCGCATTTGTTCTCTCGCTCACTATCCTCATCTCTGCTTCCCTGCGGCACCACAAGTCAAAGAAATTATTAATACCAATCAAAAAATTGAAATGCAAAAGAAATCAAATGAATCGTCATTGTACCTGTCCTTGAGATACAACAGATTATCGTGGATCGCTTGCACTGCTGCCTCCAATTTTGTCAGTTCAAGCTCAACACCCTACAAGGATGCCCATTCACACAATTATGAACATTACATGCAGGAAAGGAGGTTAAAAAGCACTTACATACCTTATTGTTTACATTACTTTGCACTTATAGACCCCATCTTTTTCTTTCTTGACATTTAAAATACCCTATTGTTGTTTAGAGTAGGACACTACTATCTCCTCTTAGATAAACATTAGACTATTGTCATTAAACGTTAAAATATTTCCCTAAAATTTCCATGTGCCTTGCACATGATAGAAGTTGATCAAATTATACCCTTAAAAGTTGGTAGTTTCAACTACAACCTCATCATAAACCCTATTTTCTCCCACTTACAGTGAGGTTGGATAGGATTTTTCCAAGGTGGGAAGGGCTGGGATGGTTACAATGCTAACCTCAAATATTGTGTTTTGATAAAATTCTTATTTAGTAAGGGAAAGGGAAGGAATTGTCAAAAAGTAGCAAACTCACTCACTTTCTTGACCCGCCTAAAGTGGATGGATAGGGAGGGGAGGAGTTGATTTTAAGTGAATTGAACCCCTCTCTTCCTGTTTTCTACTCGAAACAAACAGAAATTATTTTCATCACACTCCCTCCCTCTCTACCCACTAATTGTCTATCCAAACACAATTAGTTCTATCACACTCCCTTCCTCTCTTTTCCCTCCTCTTGGGTCTAGTTCAATCGGCCCCCTCCTCCACCCTCTTCTCTATCCAAACCCACCTTTGAAAGTTTGTCCAAAATTAGTTTTTACTCATGCTTTTAGTTGATTCAACCAATTTTAACGATATAATTAACCAACATCCACCACATTCAAGTGGTATAGAAATTTTTAGGACACTATTCCTGCGTTTAACGGGAACACCAACGTTTAACTAAAAGAAGGTACTAAAGTTAAAAGACCATAGGGTATTTAAATGTTAAGAAAAGAAGGTAGGATATATAGGTGAAAGTCATGTAAAATATAAAGTAAGTGATATTTACTGAATAATCGAATTTAGAGCTGCTATAAAGGTGTTTCCACTTTTGTGGGTGTAATTGAAGAGCTGACCTCAAGCTTCTCTTTTCTAGCAACAGAATCCCAGTCCTTTGCAGCAATTCCAATCTTCCAATCCAGATTAACACTTGCTCCTACACCTTTGTCAGCGCTATCAATCCAGAAACAGGCAAGATAGTTACCAGGCTCTGTGGTTGTGAAAGCAAACTGGTCACTCTTGACATTTTCTTTGTGATGAAGTGTGTTTCCATATGGTGATGTCACCTGCAAGAAAAGAAGATCAGAAGTTCATTCTCTCGTTCCTCTAGTCAAAAATCTATAACAAAGTGTTAATCCATTTCATTGTCTTACCTACTCGCTCTCTCGTTCCTCTGGTCAAAAATTTATATCAAAGTGTTAACTAATTTGATTGTCTTATCCACTCGCTTTTCTCTCATTCCACTGCCTATGGTGCAGGCAACATACAACTCCCAAAATAAAACAAAGATTTTCCTTTCTTATTAGGGTGCAACTTTACAAGTGGACTGCCTAACTATCACCATGTAAGAAGAATATTCAACATGAAGCGTTGTGGGGTCAGTGTATCAATCTCATATACAGGTTAGAAAGGCCACCCCTCAAATTTGAAGACTTCCTCAGGTAAAAAAATATATTGTATCAGTAAAAAAAGGGAGTTTTATTGTCAGCTGAGCAATACTCTTTCCGCAAACATGTTGTATGTATCCAGTATTAATGATATGAGAGTATGCAATGAAAAGGGATAAAGCATTTAAAAGGAGCAAGAAGTTGTCTACAAGCCAATATCTCGCTCTCTCTTCCCACTTCTAAAGGGAGAAAAGTATCCACCACACAAAAGCAGACAAAAACACATCCCACATAAAAGCATAGAACAAAACCCAAAACCAACACATCTAAAGGATAGTTATCCAGAAGAAAGTATTTCTCATAGTGAATTGTTTGGATTGAAAATCTTAGGAAGAAAATAATATTGAATTGCAAGTCTACAACATGCACAGAGTTTACCTCAGTGCAAGTACAAGCCAAAACTAAGACCATGGTCAGGTCTCTTACCAACAAGATATGCAAAAAAATGGTATCCAGATACTCTTCTAAGACTGACACCAGCTCTATGTTCGTTGATCTGACATCACACATAAATTGGCATGGATACTTGAGGCTTAAACATTCTCAGATACATAATTAGAGCGTGCCTGACTTATATAGTGTTTATCTTCATACACATATCCTAAAGCCTCTTATGGTAGACAATGAAGTGGCTTGAAAATTCCAAGCCATCCAGTGTTCAAAATGATGATATACCTGTTTGGCATCAACACACGGTACTTTAACAGTTCAAGCATGCCAATCTATCAGTCCACTTGTTTGGCTCAAAATCTAGACTGGTGGAAAGAATAAACTCCAAGATGTGTATTATGTTAAGTGTTAACGATTAAAACACATCTTTTGACATGAAACCCTTTCCTCCACCGAGAACTACAGTTGAACTCTAAAAAAAACCATCCACCCCCTAGTTTAGTGATCAGTTAGGTTTTACATTGCAAGCACCAGTCCAACTGTACGATTCGGGTTTGCATGTCACCTGGCATAGGCACTTGGTTCAATCAATGTTACAGAAGACGCTAGGCGGACTAACCATTCAAGCCGGGGCCTAGCGCCTAGGCGTATGCCTAGGAGGCACCTAGGCGTTTGCCTAGGTCTAGGTGGGTGTTCGCAGAGAGCTGCGGAGGTGGGTGTCGACGGCTGCAGAGGTGTTGGTGGGTGTCCGAAGAGGCGAGAGGAGGCGAGGAGGTGGAAGAGCAGACGGGGGGATAGGGGTGATCGGGAAGAGGCGGGTAGGTGCAGAGATGCTTGTGGGTGTCAAAAGAGGTGGAAGGTGGAGAAGGAGGCGGTGGGAGAGAAGGCATCAAGAGGCGAGGCGCAAGAGAGGACTCGGAGGATAGGCGAGAGTTGCGGAGTGGTGAGTGTCGGTTAGGCTGGCTAAAGGTGTTGTGGGTGTCCGCGAAGAGGCCCGGAAGGCGAGGAGGTGGAGAGGAGGCGGCGGGTATAGGGGTGATCGGAAGAGACGGGTAGTGCGCGAGATGCTTGTGGGTGTCAAAAGAGGCAGGAGGTGGAAGAAGGAGGCGGCGAGAGGAGGCATCAAGAGGCGAGGCGGCAGTAGAGACTCAGAGGATAGGGAGAGCTGTGAAGGTGAGTGGTCCGCCGGCTGCAGATGAAGAGCAACACGAGAGAGAAAGATAGGGTTTAGATTTAAATGAAGCGGCTCAAGTATGGTTATAGATTCGGGTTTTTTTTTTGGGGGGGTGGGGGGTGGGGGAGGGCCTGGGCGTGTAACTGAAATTGTTTTTCTTTTTCTTTTCCATTTTTTAAAAAGCTAGGCGGTCCGCCTACGCGGACCACCTAGCCTTACGCACGGAACCTAGGCGCCGTCTAGGTGGGACGCCACCTAGATTGACGCTCCGACCAAATCTAGGTGGCAATGGGTCCGTCTACGCCGAGGCAGATGCCAGGCCGGCTTTTTTACAACATTAGGTTCAATTACCAAGAGCTCCCATACAAGGAATGGCTGTTTCATGAAATTATAAATGACTAACTCTTGTGTTTAGTTTAACTGTTGATTCTCATCCAATCCACTAAACAGGAAGTTCATCTTCAACTGGACTAGCCAAAAAGTTGAGCCAGTCCAGGAACTCACATAATGAGTTTACCATATTTGTAGAATATGGATTTTTTTTACTTTTTTAATAAGCAGGGAAAACACCAAAGCCTTCACCCCAAATTTCTAAGACCACCTGCATGAATCTAGTTTTCTCATTCATTTCTATTAAGGGTCACCTCCTTCGTTAAGATAACGATTCTTGAATCCTTCTTAATTGCCTCCAACCAAGTTCATTGAGGTCTATCACTAGTTCTCTATGCCCATCAATTATAATCTTATCATTTTTTCTCTAACTGGTGCATTAAGTGGTCTCCTTCATACATAACAGAACCATCTAAATCAGTTTATCTCTCGTTTTATCCTCAATGGGTGCAACACCTAATCTCCTACAATTGCACCCATTTTCTATCATATCTTCCGGCATGTATCCACAGGACCTATTGTGGCATTCAAAGTTCTACTGCACTCATTTTTTATACATGCTAACCTGTAGAACACTGTTGGTCTTATAGTTGTCCTACAAAATTTTCCCTTCTGTATGGATTGTTAATCACTACAACAAATTTTTTTGCTTCTACACTGAGATGTAATATTCAAATTTGATCACACATCAAACAACAACCGATACTACTATGAGTATTGCAATTCCAAAATCATTAGCAAAAGCCTTCCGCCCGGGTATCATATCAGTAATATTTTTCAAGAGTTCATTTGTAGCAAGATGGAACTAAAGGACGAGAACATCATTGCTTATTTAAGCATATGCAGATGCAAAAGCAGAAATTTCAAAAATTAGACACTAAACTGAACAGGTTACCCATGTGGGATTAACTTGGCAAAGCGAATTAAGTACCAGTCAGGTAAACCAGAAACTACTGTCCTTAATAAAATTTGCCACTGTTGCCAATTATTTTGCACCATGCCTCTGATGTATCCTCAGGCGTATCAATTCCATCTGATTTCTAATTTATCCATTTGCTTACATTCTAAATGTCTAAACATCTTGTACTTAAATCTTACATACTGTACAGTAAAAGCCAAAACATACATAATAAACAATAAGTTGCTGCAAAACAAATGCCATATAGATTGTGATAAGTGGATTTCCGAAGTAAGGGTTCTTTGCACTTTAATACCCAAAGTTTCATCCTTTCTCACCTTTGATGCTTTGAACTCCAAATTTGACAATTTAACACCCCAAAGTCCGAAAAGATTCAAGTCAATTTGGTTCGATACCAAGTATAGAAAAGTGAACGAGAAACAAATTCCCCTACTAATTTCATCCTTTTTCCAGTTTAGACAAAGCGAGCAACAAGGTTCAGGGCTTTAGGCTATCAAAACTTTCAGTTGGGGTTATCAAATTGTCAAAGATAGAACTTTAGGGCGTCTAAATTTGATCTAAACCAACGTGTAAAGCATGTGAAAGAGAGGCTAGATCGGTGTTTTAGATCAGGAATCGAACTCTAAAGCTGCAGATCTGAAATTTCCTCGTTTAGATAAAAATGATGATGATCGGTCGATGATGGTACCTTGGCGGCGATGGTGATGGTGGAGTGAGTCTGGCCCTCGTAGATGACGGAGTAATCGGCGAGGACGACGACGTTGGGCTGGATCTCCTCCGATACGCACTTCGTACCGGTCGGTGGCAGATCGAGCCACACGGCGTCCGCGGTCAACGCCGACAGAAAGAGCAGCAGATGGAGGATCTTCGTCTTGGTCTTCATCGGATTCACCGCCCCTTCTCTCTCTGAAAAGAAATTTTTTTTGACGACCAGCAAGTGACTGTTATTGAAAATTGGGGGTCTTTTCTATTGAGCAGGTGAACGGGAGAGGAGTCAATAGTATCGGGGTTTTATTTTGGACAAATTTTGAAAATCAACCCATTTTAAAAACAAATTTGTAAAAATTAAGCTATTTATAACATATTTGTCTAAATCGACCCGTTTCAACCAGAAATTGAGTCGATTTTGACCCAAAAACTTACAAAACTTCACGGTCCCGTGAAGTCCCATGAAGTTTTGTTACCTTGGTTTTGACAAATATATTATAAATGGGTCGGTTTTTACAAATTTTTTATAAATAAGTCAATTTTTAAAATTTGCCCTTTTATTTTTGACGGCTAATTTTGATCCCATGCCAACAAGATTTCACTAGGGCAGAAAATTTTAAAATAAATTCATTGGACAATTTATTTATAAAAATCTATGCAATCCATTTTAATTTATAAAAATCAATCCGGTTTTAGTCAGGTCAGCTGTGTTGGCTAGGTAGGTTTATTAAAAAACGCTCTTTTCTAATTAATTAGGTTTGGCAATCCCGTTGAATTAGAAGATGGCTAAATTTGACAGGTTCCCAATGTCGAGGTTGCCAACTCCTACTATTTTGAACTATGCTCAAAGTAGTAGGAGTTGACAACCCCGACTGGCGACTATTATGAACTAAGTTCGAAATAGCCAGAATTGCCAAACCTGATAATTTTTAAGGGATCCATTTTGAAACCCCGCAAGTTTTAAATTTTGGCTAAGCGTGCATAATAGATAGGGTTGGTAATGACCACAATGTTTGGTGATTGGGAAAAGTCTAATGCTGACACTTTCTCAATATCTTGATGTCATCAAAAGAAACAACTCTGAAACTAAATACAAACTTATAACCAAAGTGATTCGTCCAAGAGTTGAGGAGTTCATGTTTGTGCTATACACACATAACCAAAATTTTGAACTTAAGGGATTTTCAAAACGAGTCCCTGCAAAATAGTCAGTGTTGTCAATCCCTACTATTTTGAACATCGGTCAACAACCCGACTATTTTGAACATAGAGGGCGTTCCCTACCCGGTTAATTTTAACTATCTTCTAATTGAACGGGGTTGCCAACCCCGATTAATTAAAAAAGATCGTTTATAAAAAATCGACATGGTTTCAGCCAGCGCTGCCGACGTGGCTAAATTTAAGTCGATTTTCATAATAAATAAAAATAAATTGGGTGGATTTTTATAAATAAATTGTTAAATGGGCTTATTTTTATAAGTAAAATTTTAATGTGTTTATTTTAAAATTTTCTCCTTTCATTAGGTTACACAGACTATTGTGCTGCAATATTTTGTTCTAGTCGCTCAAATGTTCAATCATTCCACACTAGACCTTCATCTATACTATTATATTGAAAACTTAGTAAGGGTAAGAAAAAATTGAAGAGCATGAACAAATTATTCTTCATTTCACTAAAGACATAAGATAAATTTGGCCATTTCAAATAAAGTTTAAAAATGTAAAAATTAAAAGTACTTTTTTTGCGTAAGGTCAAAAATCATTGAGTCGTTGCGCATCATAAATCATTTCAATACAAATTTAAAAATAAAATGATGTAATCACAATAATTAAAAAAATGTACTACTCAAGAGAATTTTCATGTCAAATTTAACTTTCAACAATTTATCTAATAATATAGTTTCTGAAAGGCAAAATGGCCAAATTGGTATATTTGTTAGAGGCTTGGTGACATGTTGGTGTATTTTCTTTTAGTTTTGTCAAATTGGTATAAATTTTCGACTCCAGCGCCATATAGACCTTAAATTTGGCCGGAGTTACTATTCCGACCAGGGCTGATGAGATTTTTTTGTAAAAAACCCCTCATCAAATACAATTTCCTGCTCCTAACCCCCCCCCCCCCCCCCTTTCCCTCCTCCTTCTCATCCTCTTCCTCCTCCTCATCCTCTTCAACCTCCCCCTCTTCCTCCCTCCGATGTCGACCGGCGGCGCACGGATCTTCGACGACCTAATACCCGG